TTTTAAAGATAAATATTAAGCCAAATATTGTACTTAATTTTAAAAAAATTATTATAGTAGTATACTGGTGGGAAATACAAATTAACATTTTAACATTCCTAGTTACTTTGGTAATAATTTTCAAAGTATATAACCAACCACAATTTAGGAGAAGAAGTAAAAGGGGCCAAGTAACAATTTTTTGAAAAATGTCAAACTGGTGAAGTGCCCATACTTTCTTTTAATTTGGCTTTTGTATCTTAATATTATTCGAATAATACAATTATTAGTTTGTATTTGTAAGTATATAACTAACCACAATTTAGGAGAAAAAGTAACAGAGGCCAAGTAACAATTTTTTGAAAATGTCAAACGGATGAAGTGCCCAGACTTTCTTTTAATTTGACTTTTGTATCTTAATATTATTCTAATAATACAATTGAGTCAATCCAAATGAAAACACAAAAAATGAATTTAAAAGTGCCCTGCATGATTTTTTATTTTAATGAAAAAATTTGAGGATGATCTTTTAGGTATCATATATGAAAAACCGTTGCCGTTTTAATTTTTAGTTGCTTCATTTTTAATCGGCACCCTTTAGAAACCTGAAATCGTGTCATTTTCTTACTCTCTTATAAGAGGCTGAAACTTTTTTTCTGTGGCAATTATTGAAATGATTGTAATTTTATTTTACTGAATAGTAAGTATGTTTTCAAATTTCAATATTAATTATTATTATCTAATTAGTTAATCTCATAAAAGAATGTTAAACCACTAAAGATTTGTAATAATTTGCCAATTTTTGTGATTTTTGTCCTGCTCCTGTGCCTAATCTGCTAAATCTAGAAAGTTGCTTTTTTTCAAGTATCAAGTACGTATACAATAGAAAACGTAACTATTATTTTAAGTTTCTAGACTATCATTTTCTTTATTAAAAAAATTATTGAAACTTGATAATTTTCAAAATTAGCCAATTTTGCCCTCAAAAATCATTATGTTGAGGAAAACATTAAAATCTGAAACTTTCAGGAAATCTAGTCCCCACCTTCATATTTTCAATCTAGTTAGTCTTGTTTTGTTATTTTTATCCATGTAAAAGATATAATAATTGTTTTAATGTAGTTAAGAAGCGATATTGTTAGTTTTATTTTTAATTTAAAATTTAGATGGCTTTGACTTCAAGTTGTCAAGTTTTAAATTATGAAAAATAGGCAAAAACCAACAAATATTATTATTATCATTATAACATGTTTTATTTTAACCTAAAAACTAAAATTTAAAGAAGTATTTACAGATTGTATAAATTATATATTGTGTATTGTATATTATATATATTTATATATATGATTATACAATACATAAAATATAACATAACTACCAAATATATCAGAACTGTCAAAAATATTTCATAATTATTATTTGTGGTATTCCTTTGGTAATTTTAAAAAGTTTTGTATATAACATAATATGACATATTATGTTATATACAAAATTTACCAAAGAAATAGGCACAAATAATATTTATGAAATATTTTTGACAGTTCTGACACTTCTCCACCAAACATGAAAGCCATATAAATTTTAAATTATAAATAAAACTAACAATATCGCTACTAAACGGGCATTAAAAAAATTAATATATCTTTTAAAGGAATAAAAATAACAAAACAAAACTAACTGGACTAAAAAGATGAAGGTGGGGACTACATTTCCTGAAAGTTTCATATTTTAATTTTTTCCTCAACATAATGATTTCTGAGGGCAAAATTGACTAATTTTAAGAATTGTCAAGTTTCAATAATTTTTTTAATAATAAACCTGAAAAAAAAATAACTTTCTAGATTTAGTAGAATAGGCACAGGAGCCAGACAAAAATCACAAAAATTTTTTATATTTTTCAAATGTTTTGTTTACTTTTTTACCTATACCTATATTTAAATAATTATGTACAAAAGAATGTAAAATGCCAATAAAATGCAATTTTTTTATTTTTATGCAATTTTATAAAAATATATTTGGAGTAGTTTTTTATATAATTCATAACATCATCAAAAAAAATTTTCCATTTAATATATATATAGGTCTATAGATATTTATAATAAACATTATACCTATGACTTAGTGGTCAATAAAGAGTAAGCGAATAAATAAACTTTAAACAGTAAATTTTAAAGCAGAGCTAACTTTTAAAAATCCTTTGTAGATTTTGGCCATCTAGACCGCATTCAGATAATTTTTGATAACCCTTAAATTGTTGCACAGTGTTATTTATAAAAATATACCTATAACCATTGTTATAAATAAAAACCAACAAATTAAAACCATGTTTTTCACATATTAACATTCAGTTGCTAATTAAACATAATTATACAATTGTAAAATTTTCTTAATAAATTGCTAATATCTTCGTTAAACAACGAATTTGCATGGTTATGTTGGTTTTTAATTGTAAAAATTATGTCAGTGTTGTATTATATTATTAATGATAATAATTAAAGGTATTAAAATAATGAATTTTGCTTTTGTTTGCTACTGGAGAGTTTAGTTAGTACAAGGATAAGTTACTAATTAAAAATTAAATGGTTTTTAACAACATCTTAAGAAATACTGTTGGAACTAAAAAGTTTGATTTAACATAGATAATATTTATTTTTATTTTAATTAGTATAATATAAGATCTTATTATAATTTAATAACTAGAGACACAATTTTAAGTAAAAAAAATGCGTTTAATTTAATTTAATGTTATTTTATCTCAAAATTCCACTAAATGGATGTTTGTTTCAAAACAAAAGTAAACTTTTTATAGTTCTTTTTAAAGCTTTGTTAGTAACAAATTGTTACACCAAAATTATTGACAAAAAACCGGTATTTAATTATCATTACATTAACTCATGTTAAATTCAGTGGTTATTATAAGTACAAATATTATATTAGTCACGAAACAAAACAACCTACTGTTTTACAACTTATCGCTATTACAATAATTAAAAATTATATCCATAAAAAATCATTCATTTATTATTATATCTAAAAATGCCAATGATCTTATATACTTTATATTATACTATCTCGAATAAAACAATGTTTTAATAAATAAATAAGGTAATAATTAAGCAATAACATATAAGTTATTTTATTACTCTATAATAGATAAGGCACGATATGTATAGTAACAACCTGTACTAATAACCAATATAAATGCACTTAGATAAATTATTAATGTTGTCAGCATAAATGCAAGTACCTATATACATTTCAAAATTTATTATTAAGTACCAACGAGTTTACACATGTAAACTATTGTTTAGAAATATTTAGATATTTTTACTACATAAATTTTAGTTTTTTGACAGAATTATACATAATAATATTATGATAATAAATATTATATACTACCAGCAAAAAATATGCATATCCCATGGGATATTAGATTTTAAACACTATAATGGAAAATATTTGTATCAAAGACAAAACGTATATGGTTTATATGCATATATAGTATACCGTAAGCCATGGCTTTAGCTCACTTTCAAACTTAAGCTTAAAATTTTTGTGGATTTAACAATCATAAACATATTTTATTTTTATTAGACACGTGTAAGCAGCGACATATATCTATTGCAAGGGATTACCGATAAAAAAAATAAAAAATCAACCTGTAGTTAACCAAGGATCATCATTCCAATGGATTGCGCATAATATAGAAATTGTAACGCGTGTATTTCTAAGAGTTTTGCACTGATGCGATATATAGAATTTTAAAGTGTAATAAATCCCATTTATTTCTTTAAAACACTTATTTTCCTATAATATAAACTCAATAGAATCGCTCAATTGACAGGTTACAACAAATTATAAATGTTAATTTTCTCTTTCTGACGAATCTTTTAATATCTTATTTTTTCCGGCAGTTATTGGTTGTTATTTTAAGAAAAAAATTATTTTTTTACCAAGATTATTTCCCTCATTATAATATGAACCAATCAAAAGCCTTGAATTTTCGAATAAATTTCGTTTAAATAAGCGATTAAATCACTAGAACTATTTAACAGCGATTAAATTTTAGCCTCCATATTGGATTTTTGTTTACGATTTTATGGTGTTATTTACAAGTTTAAACAAACATTTAAAAAAAAATAAGTTATCTAGTTTATCTAGTTTACGAAATATCAATTATTACTCATTACATACCTTAAATTAATGGAATTTTCTTTAAAAAAATATTTATAAATTTTGACACATACGTCAGATTTTATGAATTGTCAAATAGTTTCCTTTAATTCGAGAAATAATCTAGACGTATATCACTCAACCTATAAATTTAATCTGTCAAACTATGCTCAGTAAGTTTTTTTATTTGATTTTTCTTCTTGGAAAATAATTTATTAAATTATTTTGCATTCAACATTTTCCAAAAAAAAACAAACAAAAAACTACTGAGCCTAGTTTAACCGATTAAATTCATAGTTCTCGTGATATAATATATGATTAAAATTAAATTAATTGCATTTAACATCAAAATAACCTTTTAACCTATAGGTTAAAATAATGTTTTAATGAAAAAGAGGCATTATTCTGACCTTAAATGTAAATATATGTGAATATTTGTAATTGTATTGAATTAAATTCTAACCATGAAATACCTTACGTTTTTTACATAAATATGGAAATTTAATTTAAAAAAAACATTAAGATTATATTTTTATTCAGGAAATTTCTTAATTCTGGATGAGATTTTAAGAAGATCTTTGAACAAGCGTTATTTGATATTAATCTTTATGAAAAAATATTAAAAATAGTATAGTTATAAAGTTAATTAAAGTAAATTTTACATAGCTACAGTAAATTACATTTATATATATATATAGATAAATATATATACATATATATATAAATTTAAATAAAAATGTTTTTATCATAGATAGATGGATGGATTTTAAATGGTTTAATTTAAATCGTTTTACATTCTCTATAATTGCATAATACCCAAAAAATATTTTTAAATTTTTTTTACCAACCTTTCTTCAATTGTTAAATTGGCAAGTTCTGGTACCCAGCACCAGTGTTGTTCAGGAATAAGGGTTATAAAAATTTGCGAAAAGTAGACCCAGGCCACAAAAAACGCAAACGGAATCATCAGCAAGAAAAGAATCTTCTGATAAATCCCAAACTCGCCAATGTGTGGCAAAAGATCATCAAACTCAAACGATTCATCATTTTTATCATCTTTTTTTATTGCTTCTGTATTCTTGTCATTCTTAGCGTCTTCTCCGATAAATCCAGTATTTGTATACCCATTTTTAGACACCAATTCTAAACCGTTGCAGCTGGAATCCGTGGATTTAGGTTCCTTTCCGATTTCCGGTAAAATTTCTTGTGGTGGCATTTTTAATTATCCAATTTTTTGGTATGGCACAAGACACAACACTAAAAGCACTTCGCACAAATTTTTGTCGATCAGGCTAACCCCCTGGTTTTCGGAGTCAATCCTTATCTCAATTGATTTAGACTAAAGTTAAAGTCAAAGACTTGCAAGTTTTTATAGTTAGTGGTGTTAAGGTCGATGTCGAGCGGTCGGAATTTCCTTCCCACCCGAAACTCGTCGCCGTCCGCAGACAAGCGCTCAGCAGGTGCCTGCGAACCACCGCGTGCTGCTACTGCTTCCTTTTCAAAAGATAAGTATACAATAACAGAGAATTTTAAAAAGATGAATATAAAAATTTTCAAAAATTATTTATAGTTACAGACCGAACTTTTACACACATATTGAAAAAGGCTGGTTACCCGGGTTTATAATTATTATAATAAATCAAAATCTACTATCAAATCCATTGATTCAAAATTTTTGACACCTCAATGATGAAAAAATATAGAATCGTGTAGTATAAAAATTAACAACAAATTTAGACTTTACATTTAAAATCCATAAAATACATGTATTTTATGGATTTTATTTTTATGCATAAAACACACTATTTCAAAAGTTTATAAAATATGTTAAGTTTGATAAACGTCATTTTAGTCACGAAACTAAATTAGGCAACGAGCGAGCCTGCTTGCGAGTCTTTAAATAAATAAGTATCTATAAAAGCTTATAAACGATTCGCTGTGTCTAGCGTCCCCAGGCGGAACTTAAGACACAGCTTAAACTATTTGCATACTATACTTTTTGTAAATTTGTAATACTTATTATTAAAGATGGGATATTTAGGTACTAAAAACTGAAAAATAGGTAACTAAAAGGGTACCTAATAAAAAAAAGCATTTTAGGTTAAAAAACAGCATTTTAGGTAAAAAAAAAACATTAAAAGTTCAAGTTTCGTTTATTTTTATAAAATAAGTAACATTAAATATTTTTCGATATTTTTTTTATAAACTGACCAATAGTTAATTAAAGCTATAAGGAACTGAAAATATAACAGGGGATACCTGATATTTACCAAATTTACTACTAGAGTAACAAACAGATAGCTAAAATGTATATAAATTAAAGAAAGATGTTTTAACATAACCTCAAAGTCCTTACAATTTTACAGCAAACTCTACAAAATAAGTTTTTTCCGTCAATAGAAAATATCTTATTCTTCCCCTCTATCCTGCTGAGTTTATTTAGAGAATTTTCTTTGGTTTTGGGATTTTTTTATAATTTTGTTTAGCCGCATACCCAAACACAAAACATACCCACAATAAACTATTTCTATGCAATAAACTGTGTTTCACTGAGGGACACTCACTACACAGAAGGTCTATGACAGAACATAAGCTCACTACAAAGAAGGTAACTGCAAATAAAGTTACTGCTACAGTCTGTGACCATAAGAAAAAACTCTATACCGTTGAGTTGCACGCCCTGGATAAAATATTGGCGCAAAATTTAAAAAGAACACAAAAAAATAAAATAGGTAAAAATACGTAAAAATAGGTAACAAATAGGTGAAAATAAAGTAACAAATTAAAAAATAGGTAACAAAAGTATAAAAAGGTAGTTTAAAGCAAAAACCTCCAAAAAAGGTAAAAAAAGGTAAAAACAATTTAAAAAAATAGGTAACAAAAGTATAAAAAAGGTAGTTTAAAGCAAAAACCTCCAAAAAAGGTAAAAAAGGTGAAAACAAGTTAGGTTCATATAAAAGAAAATCTTTTAAAACACATTTTGGCATTATTGGTTTTCAAATAGTTACATCGGTTGAAAAAAGGTAAAATAACTAAAATCCCATCCCTACTTATTATTATCTAAAAATGATTTAAATTAAATACTTGTATGGAGCGACTTCTACACTAAAAAAAATTTTCTTAAATGTTAATATATTTTGTTGTCTTATTTCATCTATGGTATTGTTAAACGATATTTTTTCTAATCAAAATTACTGTTATTTTATTAAATACAACCACGTAATTTTTGAAATAGAACAACGGAAAAGTATTGATATAAGTTTATATAATGGTAAATGCCGCTGTATAAAATACTACATGTCTTTTTTAGTTTTACGACTACAACTGGTATTATATATATTTTCACTTCATATACATTGTGCCTATACGATATATTGAACAAAATATAACATACTACTGTTGTAGTATTAAATACTGCAACGAAAATTAAAACAACGTAGTGTTGTATGCAATACTACAACAAAATGTAAATTATGATACTGAAGTATCATAATATGATACTATTATACCACTACAAGTTATACAACTCAGAGAAAACATGTTTGTCTAGAAAGGTTTCACAAAAATTTGAAGATCAGAAGCAAACATTCTATTAGGTATATTATATTATAGAGTTGTGCGATCCATGATGGACCAAATACTTAAAAGTAAATTATTAATTAGCTTGTGTTAATTTATTGAACGGGCAGGGAAATTAGAAAAACAGGACGGTCGACTTACTTGAAAAGTTGTTCTGAAAAGTTACTTTTCAAATATTCTAATAAACGATTTTTTTATTTTACTGTTAGATTTTTATTACTTTCTAACTATTTGGGGAAATTATCTAAGGTCATTGTTTACATTAGCTTCCCCGAACAAAATTCAATACAAATATTTTTATTGTTAAATCAGGCCCTTCTTATTAATAATCCGTTAAAAACTTTGCGCGTAAAGACATATTTTTCTCGCCAAAAAAAAAAAAAAGGTTTACAATTTTGGTACCCTACACGTTACCAGTTTCAATGCATTCGGCTTAAATCAGTGGCGGCTGGTGGATTTTGGGTATACCGCGGTATGGCGATATCTCAATTATTAGATATATATAAATTTATATGAGTTTATAATGACATTAAATAAACAAGTTCTGCTGATAACTTTTTGCTCGGCCGTACTGGCCGGCCGCGGCCCCATGGCGCCCCTAATAAATATATTATAAATAATTTAATTGGTGCAATTTATCATTTACCATAGTTTATTGACAAATTTCCAATTTTATTAAAAAAATCCAAATTACAGATTTTATACCATTTTAAATTTTTAATATTTCTTTTCAAAGATAATCACCCGAAGACGATTGCAGATACGGGACAATTGAAACGTTGTGAATTAATCATTAAAAAAGGCGATAGAAGTCTATAAATATGTTTAAATCAAAACACCACTTTGCCTACCACCTTCAAACAAACATCTAATAATCTTGACTTCAATAATACGTACGATCGCGTTTACACGTTTAATTTAAACAAATTATATATATATATATATATTTATATAATATATTAGTATTAGTGGTTTTTCGGGATCTTCTCCGTGTTGTCGGTTTTTGGTTCTTAAAAGAACCGCATGTCTGACGACGTTTCGGTACAATCTCATGTACCATCTTCAGGTCTTATCTGCTGGGCTGCTGTTGCTGTTCTGCTGAGGGTTAGACGAGGTTCCACCCTAATAAGGGCTTTTGCCGTTTTTGTGTAAGAACTTTTTTTTCAGTGTATACAAAAATAGAATAAGCATTTGCTGAAGAATCGAAATCTGTATTACTAGAGGTCGTAAAATCAGCACAAAATATTTTTTGTTAAAAAAATTAAATTGCATGATACAAATAAGCCTGCCAAGCAGGTTTGCACAAAAAATTGCAAAATTTATAAAAAATTGAATTTTGTGGTATCCTTTTTAAAGAGGTTTCAATGTATTGACCGTTTTTGACAGAACTTTGCTTAAATGAAAGTTAATTAATTAATTAAAGTTAAAATATTATTTTGTTTATTTTTTTTTAAGTAATTGGTTAGAAAATCAATTTTTAATTATATTGTGGCCTTGCAAAAATATGAAGAAAATATAAAAAGGCACATTGAACCCTTAAAAAAGTCAAATTCTGTCGAAAAAAAGATAGAGCCACTTATTTATAGTTGAACTAAAAACCTAAGAGGGCAGCCGCGGCTGTATTTTTCAACTCCCTGCGCGTGGTTTCATCGTACCCGTTTGTAAAATTGTTTATTAAGTTTATTGAGCAATTAATGTAGTAAATCAAAAATGCGCGAGGTAAATGTGATCTTATTTATTTACAAATGCATATACAGGGTGCATTCTAAAATTGTGGTAAATCCTTCTAAAAAAATAAAAATTCTTTAACAATCAAATAAAGAAAATACAAATCAATTTTAAACCCTAACCATAACTAAAAAATCCCTAAACCTAAGCTCACAGAATACCCCTTACGTAATAATTACAGGTATTAAACAATAATGTTTATGTTTCATGACAAACCCAATATTAAATTTACAACAGTAAGAGCTCAAAACTGTACTCGTATACAAATCGAAAACAGTGGACGAGGAAATTATTCTGCATTCTACAATTTTGGTGTCAATGGATATAAAGGAATGATACAAGCCAGCACCTTTAATCGCGACTGCTTTATTAAAAGGAGGGTGTAAACCTGCTTTATCAAGTATATGTTCCGCACGCATCTAATTAAATCAAATAAAAAATTGTTTGGAATCCATGTAAAAATATTCGACTGCCGGACAAAAATAAAAATCGCCTTGCTGAAGGCAACCAATACAGAGGCAAAAATGCAGTTTTTCTACTCCTATTACGGAATTTGACCCTTCTAATATCACTTTTATCTATGGAATGACATATATTCCGTAAAGTGTTACAGAATGAAATATTCTATCATCTGATGACAGAATAAACACTCGTGGCGACATCTCTGTTTTTAATATCTAACAAATTTTAGACCGATCCAACCTCACTTTCTTCCAATTAAATTATTTTTCTATGGTATTTTTTAGAAACGTAGAAAAAGTATAGTCTGAAACACGTTTGGAATTGCATATCGCCGACGGTGGTCTAGTGGTTAGTGCTGCTGATTACAAGCCGGAGGTCGTGGGTTCGAATCCCACCAGGTGTATGGCTGTTTATTTGTGTTTGTCCTATTGTATATTAGTCCTTCGGAGGGGACTTTAAGCCCGCGGTCCGTTCCTACCCCTAACCCGCACAAGCCATTCAGTTGGCTTATGGGACTTCTTAAGAAGTAAGGGTGGAACTAAAAGAGCACTTT